AGTCCCAATGACCAAGAGGTCGAGATGGGGACTAGGGAGCGCCTAAGGGGGTCCTTATATACTAGAGGGGCTGCTTAGCAACCAAGGACAAGGCGCGAGAGCGAGGCAGTGAAGATGACAAAGAGAGAACAAAGGGCGAGAAAGAAAAGGCAAGGGCATGGCGATCACGGGAACGTAGCATGCGGGTGTGGGAACGTATCTACAGTGTCCAAACTGGGATGGGCTAAGAAAGGAAATGGTCCGAAAATGGAAGGTGGGCGTCAAGGGGAGGGGAATGGGCGGCAAAAGGGGGCGTCTGTCCAACGTCCGTGACAACCACGCCCTTGCCGACGATACATCAGATCGTCTTCGTCATCGCCGTCAGTATCGGCATACCCCTATTGTCCCTCGTCGCAAGGTCCTCCCCCCATCTGTACCCTCGTCCCAACCTCTCGACAGACCACTCGCCGCACGTCTCACCTCGCCCCCACCTGTCCTTTCTCCTTCAATCCCTACGGTCCCCCTCCAGTACCGTATAACTGCACCACCCCTTCCCTCCTTTGCACGTCGTGATCCTATTGATCTCGTCGCCATTGTCGGTTCCAAGGTCAACGCCGTCATCAAAAGACTGCAAGCCATCTTCGATTGCAAGGATCAGCTGCTCGACATCCCCCACGAGCATCAACTTGCCCTCCAGCGCATCGGCGACAGACTCGAGTGGATACTCGACAACATCACGGAGAACGGCACCTCGTGGACTCGCAGCCAACAACAGAACATCGACTGGTTCTGTAAGGAGTTTGGAAAAGTCAAGTTTAGTGGACTAGGACAGAATTTCGAGCGGATCGTCAAGGGTCTGGTAGAACTAGAGCGCTTCGGGTACTTGGATTGGATCGTCGTTTAGTTTTGTATATCGGATATCTTTCGCAGTGGCTTCAGGTTCTCGTTACGCCCCCTGGCAGAGGATGACTTTGAATCAGATGACCCGGGCCCACACACACACCCGGCTCCATCACAGGCACACACCCGTCCGGCTTCACCTACTGCTACACTTCAAGCGTACCCGGAAATTCAATGGATCTACGCTGGCGTCGAGTACGGCTCGTTGGAAGACGCCATTCGTGCCTTGGCAAACAGTTTAGGGATCACCAACCAAGCTTACGTCGACTGGACCATCTCCGTAACAAGGGACATCACACGGCGCGAAGTGGTCAATGTTTACAATGTCCTCGGCAACAAGATCTACGAACACCGGAACGATTTTCTTAAGGAACGTGATGCCACCCACGCCACTTTTGAAACCCTGGACAGCTCAATGGTAGGCCTTCACACCAAGGCTGACACTGCTGGAAACCTCGCGCTCAAGGCTGTCGAAGAAAACAAACAGCTGAAGGTGGAACTGGTCACTGTCAATGCGGATCTGGAGGTTCTCAACCGGAACAACACGGAGCTCGTCAAACGGTACAAGGAACTCGCGGCCAAGTTGGAGCAAGGCTTGTCAAACCGCACCACGTTTGGTAACCCTACCGCCCCGGCCCCTGTCGTATCCCAGGCTTCGCGTATCAAGGCGTCAGAACCACCCAAGTACAAGGGCAACAAAGGCTCGGACATCACTCTCGAACAATGGTTACAGAAGATGGGCCTTTGGTTCCGTGTTCAGAACATCACCACGGACGACGACAAGATTACCCTGGCCCTCATGTACCTGGAAGGCGGCGCGCACGACTACGTCGAGGACTACGTCGAGACAGCATCAAACGGCGGAGCTCTTGGAACATGGGCCGACTTCATCAACCGACTCAAGGCAGGCTATCGTCAACTGGCTCCGGAAAAGACGGCACAGACATCCCTCGAAGAATGGTGTTCAAAGACCCACTCTACCGTCATTCAGTTTGCAGAGAACTTCCGCCACTACGCCTCGAAGTCCGGTTACGCTGACGTAGAACTCATCCGGCGCATCGACAATCAGGTTGGCAAGAACTCGCAGATCCTTACGGTTATGACAGCAATGCGGCAAGTCAACCCGATGCTGATTCCGACGAAATGGGAACACTATCTGGATTGGGTGCTCAAACTGGAAATGGAAACTTGTGGAAATCAGGCCAAGTCGTCTTCGCAGCAGCACACGACTAGTCGCCCCCCACGGGACCCCAATGCCATGGACGTCGACGCAATGCGCAAGCCGGAGAAGTTGTCTAAGGAACAGCTCGAATGGCTCGACAAGAAGCTCTGCTTCCGCTGCGGCAAACACAAGTTTACGACCGGCCAGAAGTGTTGCAACCCTCAGTACACGGGTTACTACGAGCTTCCGGACATGAAGAAGCAGCCGGCTGCCCCGACCAAGGTTCGCACGATGGATCCGGCAGATGAAGACAAATGGGAGTACATTCGCAGGGCCCTCGAGGAGTTTGAGACCGCTAAGGGGAAAGGCAAAGGCAAGGCACCGGAAACTGAGACCGCCGCACGCATCGTCGAGGTCAAGGAATCTGAGGAGGATTTTCTGGAACGGGTACTTTGAAGACTGACCAAAGTATCCGACTCTGTAATCATAGCGTAGACCTAGAGGACTCTTTTGTTCCGCGTTCGAATGTTATTTATCTCGCATCAGCACGTCGCCCGCGAAATTCGTTCGATCTCAAAGTTTCCCTCACTCAAGGTACGCATGAAGTTCAGTCAGAAGCTCTCCTCGATTCAGGAGCCTACTCTTGTTTTATCCACCATCGGTTCGTTCAAGAACATGGACTCACCCTACGACGCCTCTCTCGTGAAGTACGAGTTTTCAATGCAGACGCCACCGAGAATAAGAAGGGATTAATCACACACTATGTCCGTTGTTTACTCCATATCGGAGATCACCTCGCTTGGCAGTCATTCCTTGTCACAGACATTGGGCGGCAAGACATCATCATTGGCATGGCGTTTTTACGTGAACATAACCCCGAACTCGATTGGAATGCAGGGAACATTGAGTTCACACGCTGTCCCTCAACATGCACCCGGCACACAGTGCAGGACGAAGAA